TAAGAAAAACGTGTCCTTTCCACATTTCAGATCCAGTTCCACAGCTGCATTTGACTTCAGGGCGGGTTTTGCTTCAGTAAGAATACTGCAAGTATCCAGCTTTTAATGCTACACTTGTATTGTAGTCACAGAAGACACAAAAGGAAACAGATGACTAAAACTTGCCCTTGTATGCAGTTCCAGTTACTAATATCATCTCGATTTCAGTGACATTTGATACATGCTCCATTTTTTTCAGATACTTTGAAGCGTTTCTGCTGCACACTAAATTCATTTTAAATTGGCTAAAATGGTACCTATTAGTTCCTAATGTAAAAATTAGTTCTGAAATGGAATTTCATATCCTGAGGGTAGATGGTACATTTTAAAAGACTTACAAACGTCAAGGTCACTTAAGCTTTTTGATTAGCAAAGTCAGTTTGGGAAGTGGAATGTGTTTTCCTGGAGCTATCACAGCTTTTTGCAGCAGAATTTTTGAATAGATATTTACCTTTGATGTTACAAGAGTCTATAAAAAAAAAAAAAAAAGGAAAGAAAATAACATCACTCCTTGACAGCAGATGCATGACTCAGGAGCTTGGAAATTGCAGGTTTTTGATCCAAAAACATTAATCTTCAAGGAGACCTGACATATCCCATAATTAACCAAGAGCAAACTGTTTTAGAATCTATTATCATTAAGGAACAAAAGAGTAACTTTGACAGCGTTCAACTATAAACATATGATATAACCAAAGAACAAAACACCAGCTCTACTCCCCTATTACAATTTGCAGACTTCCTGAGCTGGAGCACTTCAGGTATCCTTGAAGTCCTCCAGGATCCCAACTTGTGTATTCCAGTAGAAAATATCTTCTAAACCAGAAAAATACCCCTTGCCCAGGAGACAGGCCATTTTAAAGCTGCCTGTCCAATTTAATTTATGCAGCTGACAGTGCTACATCTTCTTAACTCCACGAGGTGCTTTTAGGGAGAGGGATCGGGACTGCATTTAGGAATGGGGAGGGACATGTATTTTACTGTGGTGAATGACCCACTTATCTTAAAATAAATGATGAAAGAGGATCAGTTTAAGGCCAAGATGGCCTCCAAGGTGGGTAAAACTGACATCTGTAATCACTGCATGCACCAAACAAAAAGAATGTTTAATAGTATCTCAGACCTTTTAAAATGTACTTTGTGAAGCTTTCCCTCCACGGAATCTCCTTCTGGAACCTCCCACGTGATAAATGGGCAGCATTGACCTGCAGCTCATGAAAGGGCCTACGGAAGGTAGGTAGGCACCCATCACCTCCCTAACCTCCAACCTCAACCTATAACCTCAACCCTTCTGTCGCTCCGTTGAGTCTCAGCTCTTCGCACCCATGGTCAGCCTTGCTCTCCACACGGCCACCGCGTTTCCTCCTCCAAGGGTAAAGGACCTGCCCACTCTCACGCAGCTTGCCTGGCCTCGGGGTGCAGCTTCTCCTTATGAGGTGGTAGATGATCCTTCTTAATCTTTATCCCTCCCTTTCCTTGCTTGATTTCCTGCCCGTTTTTTTCCTCTCCTCAACCTTTCATTTTTTCTTTTCTCCTTGCCCCTGTTTTCATACAGGCTTCATGGCTCTGGATCTTTCCCTTTGCTCAACTTCCCCATTCCACCAATAAATCAGTGCCAGCAATCTTCACTAGAACTATTTCATGAGCATCCTGATGAAAACAAAAGATCCCTGAGTCCACATGTACATAAAGAAGTCAGTAAGTGTCATATTCGCACAAGACAGATCAGAAGCGTTTTATGGAATAAATGAATAGTGAGAGAAAATAGTGGGAGTTAGGAAGTGAGTTCAATATATACTTGCTGTTACATCTAAAAAACATAACTCTGTCAAGCTCTGTTTTACACAAGTGCTTTAAAAATACATACTTAAAGCTTCGCCTTTTAAAATTTGCATGTTAAACTCGAGCTGTTTCAACAAATTATAAATAAAGAGCTAAAGCAACAGAAAGGAGAATGCCAACAAGGCTTTTCTGGGCCAAGGCTTTGAAATGACTAATGAGTTGGAAGAATGTGTTCTGCAGTAAATGTGGCATTTGACAAGCTCATTTCTTTCACAGCAGACCAGAAGCTTCCTACACGAACCGAAGCTGATGCAAAGTGTAAATAGGAAAATCTGTCACTCAGCAGCTTCACTCCTTCCATCAGGCGGCTGCCAAAATATGGGAACATTATCAGTAGATTTCACCAAACCCATGCTGGCGTTGCTTGCCAAGTACGAGCGTTTATTTTCCACATGGATTAAATGATTTGCAAAGAAAACGATTATGTCTAGAAAATATTGTGACTAATGCCATATAGCAGCAGCATGGGACTTTGCACCAGCACAGTTCTGAGGTGGCCAAGAGCACGGGAATCTTTGCAGTACTTAGGCTGCAGCATCGATCCTCTTGCTAAGAAAATAACTGCTTTTTCCTGGCATCCGTGACTTTGATTTCTGTGTCTTTCTGCCCCAAGCGTTTAGCAGGAGCTAAGAGCAGGAAACTGCAGAGGATCCTTAGACCAGAGTTTGCCACAGCACATAAGAACCCTCCGCTTTAATATTTAGTACACTGTACATTGCAGCCTGTCCATGGGGGTTGCTGTCTGAGCCGTGCTGGGCATGGACACCTCATCGAGGAGGGAATTAATGAGACTGTTAATGCACCTGCAGCCTGGGCTTAACGCAGAAGTGCATGCTGAAGTGGTTGGCAGGCCGTAATATTGTAATATTTTATAATATTTTTCATTGACACTGTTGGAATTCCGTGGAATGGAAGGGCATGTTCTTAGTCTAGATTTAAAAATATTTGCTTTGTTAAAAAAAAAAACTCTAAGAATAGAGACAAATGGCTGCTTGTTTTCTACTTGAAAAGGCCTCTGCTAGAGCAGTCTGAAACGTGCAGATGAAGGCGCTGTGAAGCTTCGCTGTGTGAGTTTTATCAAAGTTGTACTGAGAAAATACTGCTGTAATGGCATAAAGGGCTTTGTTATCCCACAGTTGTTCCAGTTAGAGCATGAAAAGGGAAGAAAAAAGGCAAAAAAAGGAAAAGAATACATTTTTCTCAAGGTGAGAAAAAGTAATACTTGAATATCATCATATAAGCACAAGAATCACTGTGTTAATGCCAGAAAAAAAGCAAGCAAACATATGAGAGTGACTGTGCACTTAACCTTTCCAAAAATGCATGCTCTTATTCAGTGGACTCAGAATAATTAATATAGTCTAGGCAGAAACACTAATTGCTGTACAACAAGAAGAACCAAGGGGAAAATACAGCATTTTACAGTAGAGTCTTAAACGAGGCAATGGTGCACTCTGCATTGGAAGCAATTTAACCTCTACTGACTCTTTTTTGTTGTTGTTTTATTTAGGATAGTGAGTTCCTCTCTGCTCATCTTAAACTTGACTTTGCTCCACTCAGGCTGAGTTTTGATGGTGCCAATATATAAAATAGCTCCACCCATCTAATATTAATGACTGCTTGAGCTTTTCTATTAACAAATGGCAAAGGTTGAAATCCACTGTTCCCCTAGGGAATTCATCCTCCTCCTTGTGATCTGCATGAAGCTTTACTGCTAAGTGATCTGCTGTAAATCTCCTGATGACTTTTCTTTTGCAGCCAGGAAGTTTTTTCCTGACCAGAGTGCATAGAAATAAAGCCTATTCCAGCTTAAAAACGAGTCCAGACACAGAGAAGAAAGTAAGAAGCCACTACTTTAATATCGCATATGCACAAAATATAAGACAGTTACAGCCCAAGACTTTTCAAGGTTTGGGAAAAGTCAAATGTTTCACGCAGGGATGTTTTCATTTAGGGATTTTTAATTCATATATTCATTCCCTATGAATGTTTACCTTGTTTTCAATTTACTTTATATATTCATTCTCCATGTAAGTCTGATGATTTCTTTTGGAAGGGAATTTCAGGTATCTTTCAATAAGTTTATGTCTGGAGGCCAAACAATTAACACCCTGTTATCATATCAACATATCCTATGCAGGGGCTGGCTAGCTGAATATGTTTGCTTTGGCAGCCCCTACCAATTTAACCTTGTTACACAGTTAATGTTTTGCTTTAAAGGACAAAGGAATTAACATAAAAATTATTAAAAGGTACTTGTGGGAGTTCATAAAAATGGTAAATGGAGCAAACAGTTAGCTCAAGTGAGGAAGGAATATTGTTCTTTTGAGAACACTCGGGGAGGAGCATCAATAAAATGGTGAATGTCACCTTTGAAAACCTGATTTCCAAAAATGTGCATTTAAAGGCACAGTATTAACTACGGCTAATGCGGTTCTCAGTACTAACGGGAAGAGCCACCGATGTCTGGCCCGTGGGGTTTGTGCAGAGAGCACCAATGTAATGTAAGAATGATTCAAAGCGATTTAATGTAAGGAAAGGGGCACGGCGGAGCCCTGTACGGGGCCGCACGTATCGGGAAGAGCCACGGCATCATCTAGCGGTCGAACATGAAAAGCAGAGCCCTGAACAGACTGGCCACCGCTTTGGTACCTCAGCTCTTTAAAGCAAGAAAGAAAACGGAAAAATTAAACACATGAAGGAGGCCAGTGCTTAAGTGTGAGCCACTCCTCAGGGCCCCTCAGAAGCTGCTGTCTCCTCAGAGGAGACCCTTGCACGGTGCAGAGGGGTCCCCCGCACAGCTCGCTTCCCCACAGCGAGAGGAAGCCCCAGGAGGCGGGACGGTGATTTTGGGGGTGACCCATAAGCGGGGACAGGGACAGAGATGTCGCTGCCACCCCCAGGGCAACCAGGTGGCGGCGGCGGGTCTCGAACCCGCAGCCCCTCCGCGCCGCGAGAGGGC